GAATAAAGAATAAATTTTTGGTGGCTGGCAAGATGGCCAAATAGGAATAGCTCTGGTCTGCAGCTCCCAGCAAGGTCAACGCAGAAGGTGGATGATTTCTACATTTCCAGCTGAGGCACCCGGCTCATCTTATTGGAACTGGTTAGACAGAGGGTGCAGCCCACAGAGGGCGAGCTGAAGCAGGGTGGGAAGTTGCCTCACCCAGAAAGCAGAAAGGGTCGAGGAACTCCCTCCCCTAGCCAAGGGAAGCCCTGAGGGACTGTGCCGTTGCATTCTGGCCCAGATACTACTCTTTTCCCACGGTCTTTGCAACTTGCAGACCAGGAGATTCCCCTGGGAGCCTATGCCAGGGCCCTGGGTTTAAAGCACAAAACTGGGTGGCTGTTTGGGTAAAAACCAAGCTAGCTGCAGGAGTTTGTTTGTTTGTTTTTTCCTATCCCAGTGGTGCCTGGAATGCCAGTGAGAGAGAACTGTCCACTCCCTTGGAGAGGGGGCTGAAGCCAGGGAGCCAAGTAGTCTAGCTCAGCAGATCTCACACCCATGGAGCCCAGCAAGCTAAGATCCACTGGCTTGAAATTCTCTCTGCCAGCACAGCAGTCTGAAGTCAACCTGGGATGCTTGAGCTTGGTGAGGGGAGGGGTGTCTGCCATTGCTGAGGCTTGAGTAGGTGGTTTCCCCTCACAGTGTGAATAAAGCTGCCAGGAAATTTGAACTGGGTGGAGCCTACTGCAGCTCAGCAAAGCCACTGTAGCCAGACTGCCTCTGTAGATTCCTCCTTTCTGGGCAGGGCATCGCTGAAAGAAAGGCAGCAGCAGGATCAAATTCACACATAACAGTATTAACCTTAAATGTAAATGGGCTAAATGCCCCAGTTAAAAGACACAGACTGACAAACTGGATAAAGAGTCGAGACCCATTGGTGTGCTATATTCAGGAGACCCATCTCACATACAAAGACATACGTAGGCTTAAAATAAAGGGAAAGAGGAATACTTACCAAGCAAATGAAAGCAAAAAAGAAGCAGGGTTTGTAATCCTAGTCTCTGATAAAACAGATTTTAAATCAACAAAGATCAAAAAAGACAAAGAAGGGCATTGCATAATGGTAAAGGGATCAATACAACAGTTTCTCCAGAGGTGAACTGTTTTCCAGGTGCCCTCGGACGGCCTTGCGCCTCACAGTGTTCTTGTCCATCAGCACCGCAGCCTGCCTGTGGAGGGACATGCGGATCTGCTGCGTCTGCTTGGAGCCCACATTGTCTGCTCCCACGATGAAGCATTTCGGATAATCATCCAAAGTTGGATGATCTTAAGGAATTAGTTGGACTTCCAGATTGCCCTGTCTTCCCTGGGCATCACAGTGGTGTATCAGGGATTGCCAGGAAGCAGGAGTTACCTGAGGAGTAGGCTTTTGTTCTGTTCTTAGGTGTGCTGATGCCTAGAATACTTGGGACAGCATGTTTGGTTGGTGTCTAATGTCTAATGCTGTCTTTTTTTACTTGTAATGATCATCTGTTAGTGGGAACAGATTTGCACAAAACCACCTGCAGCTCAAATAGCCTCTCTCTTGCCCAGGTTTCTGCAAGCTGGCCGTGACATACAGGTAGACTAGCCAGGTCTAACACTCAGTCTGTCTTTGATCTTGGGCCTAATGGCACAGGATTCTAGTTCGCTGAATAGAGCATTAATACACTTAATGACAAATGTCTGTTCACACACCTCACTTTCCTGCTACTCCTCTCTGTTATTTATTATGAATGGTTATTCCCTTAGTTATGAAAAGCAGGGTTTATCTCCATCATTCCCCAATCCAAACAACTGGGAGATTCATTCCTGGGGGTTCTTTCAGTACCCCCACCAACCCCATCTGCTTACCAGACTCAAGATGCACTGATCTTTCATATCCTCAAACACCAGACTCCTTTCTGCCTCTGCGCCTTTGCACATGCTGTTCCTTCTTCCCGGAGGGACTGCTCTCTGTATCCCTCTTCTGTGCATTCTAATCTCTTCCTCTTGCAGTATAAGTATTATTTTCTTTCAGGAAAGCCTCTGCCCACATTCTCAGACTGGGCCAAGTCTTCACTTGCATACCTCTTTTTGTTGGCTTTGTATCACTTCTCACTGAGAAGGAAGTAAATTAATATTGTTTGTTTGTTTGTTTGTTTATTTATTTATTTATTTATTTATTTATTTATTTTGTGAGACTGAGTTTCGCTCTTGTTACCCAGGCTGGAGTGCAATGGCGCAATCTCAGCTCACCGCAACTTCCGCCTCCTGGGTTCAGGCAATTCTCCTGCCTCAGCCTCCTGAGTAGCTGGGATTACAGGCACATGCCACCATGCCCAGCTAATTTTTTGTATTTTTTTTTTAGTAGTGACGGGGTTTCACCATGTTGACCAGGATGGTCTCAATTTCTTGACCTCGTGATCCACCCGCCTCGGCCTCCCAAAGTGCTGGGATTACAGGCTTGAGCCACCGCGCCCGGCTTAAATGAATATTGTTAATTTTTTGTTTGTTTTAAACAGTTTCAACAGTAGTGCCTTTGCAGCACAGATCTGCCTGTCTTCCTCACTCTTAAGCCCAGTGCTTAGCCCTGGGTCTAGCACGTACTCACAGTCCCTGGGATGAAGGAACCCATGGCCGCAGGTGAAGGAGGTAGTCACAGCTCTTTGATCCTCCTCCAGGATACATCAGTATGTCTGCTCTACCTTGGCAGAAACCGTATAACTATGCCTTTGCAAAATTAGCACTCATTCAGTTATTCTTGAGAAACCAGGTGGAGCTCTAGAGAGGAATTCTTTTAAAATTTCTTTCTTTCTTTTTTTTTTTTTGAGATGGAGTCTTGCTCTATCATCCAGGCTGCAGTGCAGTGGCGCAATCTCGGCTCACTGCAACCTCTGCCTCCTGGGTTCAAGGAATTCTCCTACCTCAGCCTCTCAAGTAGCTGGGATTACAGGTGTGCACCACCATGCCTAATTTTTGTATTTTTAGTAGATACGGGTTTCACCATGTTGGCTAACCTGGTTTTGAACTCCTGACCTCATGATCCGCCCATCTTGGCCTCCCAAAGTGCTAGGATTTATAAGTGTGAGCCACCGTGCCCAGCCTTAAAACCTCTTAATGCCTAGATGATGTAGCTGAAGGAAACGACTTAATACAAAACAGGGATGTCCAGCTTTGTATTAATTAAGCCTCTTTTTTCTCATAATAATTCTAATACCTTACTTTTGCATAACAGACTTGAGTTGGTTTCTAGAACTCTTTCGTGACCATTAGTTTCTTTTATTTACATAAATATAAGTCTTTCACAAGTGTCATCCTAACCACAGAAAGCAATGTTGCTTTTATTGATCAGAAAAATCTTAGAGAAGGCGGGGGTGGAAAGACTGGAGAGTTGGCAAGGTGCTTAGGCTGTGGTAGATTCCGCTGCAACCTGGGGATGTCCCATTGGTTCTCTCAGCTGTATCTGAACCAACACTGGACTCTGGAGAAGCTGTGCCAAGAATATGTTCATTCTTAGTTGAACATGCAGGGAATATGCCTTTGCCAAGATGTTCTCTATTACGGAGGTCAGACTGTACATTCTCAATGTTATTCACAGCAATACAACCACAGATACTGTTACTGGGCACTTCACAATGATCATTTCATTTAATCTTCACTACACCTCTGAGAGGGAAGTGGTATCATCCCAATTTTCCGTATGTGGAAACCAAACCAAAACAAAGCCATATAATTTGCCCAAAGATCTATGATTGGTAAGCGGCAGGGGCAGGATTCGAACCCAGGTCTTAAATCCTCTGAGCTGACAAACTCCTCTCCTGGCCTGACAGCTTTTTGCTCGATCTTCTCCTTTTTCCTATTTTTATCCCATTCCTCAGGAGCTTCCTTAAGAACTACTCCTGGAAAGTGCAAATTCTTGTTTCTTTCTTTTTAAAAGAATACGTATAAATCTTGTTTCTTTACTAAGCACAGCTGAGCAGACCCCACAAGTATCTCAGGAAAACGGGAGGGCAGAGGTTCCCTCTTCTTTAGAAAGCAATCGTGGTAGTTTATAGTGTGGTTGCCATTTTTCTCCTTCACACACACATTATCTCAATATTCAGTGAAACCCTATGAGAAAAGTATTAATATTGTTCCCTTTTGCAGGAGACAAAACAGTCATAAAAGAATAATTTGGGCCAGCATGGTGTCTCACACCTGTAATCCCAGCACTTTGGGAGGCTGAGGCAGGCAAATCACTTGAGGTCAGGAGTTCAAGACCAGCCTGGCCAACATGTTCAAACCCTGTCTCTACTAAAAAAATCCAAAGATTAGCCAGGCATAGTGTGGCATGTGCTTAGAATCCCAGCTACTCAGGAGGCTGAGGAAAGAGAATCACTTCAACCTGGAAGGTGGAGCTTGCAGTGAGCCAAGATTACACCATTGTACTCCAGGCTGGGTGACAGAACAAGACTCCATCCCCCAAAATAATAATTGTCTAAGACTGCACAGTTTTTAGGTAGTGAAGATGTGGTTTCTAAACACATCTATTTGAATCCAAAACAACTGTTCTTCCTTGCTATCCTCTTATGCATAATTTCAAAACGGCTCAGAAATGCTAACATTTATATTTGTAAATCATGGTCTCCTCAACGGACACCTGCCCCTGGGAGCTACACAAAAATCCTCTTCCAGATCACATGTCCTGAGTGCTCATTAGAGAAACAAGGTCAAAGACAAGAAGCTTTGTAAATCCAGACTATCCCAGGACAGAGCTGATATTCCTTCCTGTTCTTCCTTAGCGGTGGATTTCTCTAGTTGGCAGGTGCCCCAGCAGGAATGATGGCTGGTGGGCTCCAGCCCCTTGGTGAGCCAGGCTAATTGCAGCTGCAAGGGAGTGCAGCCCTTTCTGAGTGAGCAGGTATAGAAATCACAGAGGTAAACTGGCAGCTGCTACTCTCTGTATTTTATAGCAGTCTGGAGGCTTTAGTGGAAAGGGCAGGTCTCAGGAAGGAGACATGGTGGGCACTGATGGGACCACTGAGATGCCTCTAGCCTCTGGATTTTCTCTCTTGTGGTTCCTGCTGTTGGGTTCTCCTCACAACCCAGAAGCCATGACTCAGCAGGGGTTACTGCTCAGCACAGTGAGGGTGAGTTCAGCTATGGGGAGATGCTCCTTATGTTTGGTGACAGCTGTGGATGCCGCCTGACAGATGTTCAATCAGCATTTCCAGCAGGCTGAGGAAGGAGCTTGTGCTGAGAAATGGCTTCAACACACCAAGCACCCAGTCCAGCCCCACACAGCAGGCCATCATCCTTCCCTGGCTACTTCTTCCCTCTCCTTTTTTCAGATCCACGGGGGCTGGAGAACCAGTCAGCCAGGGAAACAGTCATCTGATTCATGTAATTCCTCTACTGGGCAATTATAGGGGTGGTATTTCCAGAAAGGCTTGCAGAGACGCCAGTCCCACATTTACCTTTAACCACCTGGCCACGTGCAAACAGCAGAAAATCCACTGGAAAACACAATTTTATCATGTTTTGGGTTTTTGTTTTTAAATGAAGAAGAGTTTGACACAATCATCATCTCCCTTGCTATCCTATAAAAATCTAGGCAGCTTCCACATGTGTCAAAAATTTAACACAAGTTCTTGGTGCTCTTTCTACATCAGATTGTTTACACTGTGGGTGACAGAAAGTATGTACTTAGGAGCTAATGCCTGTGAGACAGGTCTGTCTAATGGGTCGTTAGAGTGGAGAGCATTAAGGAACAAGAGCCCTACTTAGACTAAAACCTGGGGCATGCAGTAGCCTCTCGAAGGCAACATCTTGAAAAAGACATGTTGATCTTGGAAGTAAGTGATAACTACCCTCTGGTTTGATGCCTGCAGTCTAATCATGGAGCGGAAATATCTGTGGATGTCAATGCTTGAGGACCAATGGCCTGTGAGGAGAATCAGGCACAGCGGTCACATCGTCCGGATTCCCAGAATAGTCCCATTTTGGTAAACTGTTCAGTAAAAGTTGCTCACAAAATATGCAAGTAGGGTTTAATTTGTCTCCATGAGAACTTTCTAACAGAGAAAAAAAAATACCAGAAATATAATTTTCTTAGACTACAGGGTTGTGTTTTCAGTTTCAGTAGACACAAGTCTGACAGGTGAGGGAACAGCTGTTGCCTGGGCTCTGGATGGAGACAGGTGATGTGAGTTGCCTGGGAACCATCCCAGACCTCTTTTTGAACGAACCAGGTTCAGACACGCAGGTTTAAGACTCATTAGAATGAAACTGCAGCAGGCGAGGTGGAGGTCAGGCCCAGCCCAAGGAAAGTGTGAGCCACATCCCTGAACCAACTTCAGGCTGGCCCTGCTGATCCTGCTACTTAGAATTGCTGCTAAAAGCTAACCCTCTATGTGCAGTTGATGAGTCATTCCTTAACCCACCTCTCAAAAATATATGTCATTTGCCATTTACTAAAATATATGCATGAAGGAGGGAGAAAGGGAGTGAAGACCAGCCAGACTACTCTCACATCAGCTCTAGGATATGTTTTACAAATAAGTACAACCCAATATTCTGATCATTCAGCCTTTCCAGGAACATCCCAGGTGGGGAACCCCCTACATCACAAGTGAACAAACTTCAAAGATCTGACAGTATTTGAAGAGGAGTTCAAGTAGACATTCGGAGATGAGGAGGAGTAACAGGAAGCACAGTTAATAAACCTCTGAAAAGAGATTCAAAATACGTATTTTGTAAAGCAGGGTCATCACAGTAAACAAGGTAAAATACATATCTGATAAGAGATTGAGATAGGTATTTGAAAAAGAGAGTCACAATATTTGAGCTGAAGGGCGCAGGGAAGGATGGAGAGAGTATTCACTGGGTTTGCTCATTGATTGTGAGTGGATGGGGTGCTGCTGTCTCTCATCAGTCCCACCTCTTTGGATGTGCAAATCTGCACATGTATACCTGTTTATTTCTTAAAGTACAGTGACACCTTTCCAAGGACTGTGATTGTTACTGTTGTGATAAGTGACTCTAGAAGGTATGAAAATGGTGACAGGCAGGGAAGGAGGGCTTTGGGGCAGGGGGGCGGGGGCTGCTGCAGACAGGAACTGTGATAAGGCTCACATAGGATCTCAACTCCCCCCACCCTTTTCTGGAAAGTGGGCTATTTTTTTCAGAGCAGTTTTAGGTTTGTGCAAAATTGAGCAGAAAGCGCAGCATGTTCCTGTACACCTTCAGTCCCCAAAACACGCACAGCCTTGTTCACGGTCATGGTGGTGCATTGGTTACAGTCTGTAACCTACGTTGACACATTCTTATCACCCAGACTCCAGAGTTTTCATTAGAGCTCCAGCAACCCCCTTATTTTTCATAAGGGGTATAAGGTGCAAGCTCAATCCCAGGCTCTGCACCAGGTCTCTTTCCTCTTGCACTTTTCCGGTTTTCCTTTTCTAAAGCTGTTATGCTCCCAACAGTACCCTCGGTGTCTGAACCCCACGGGGCTTGAGATCCCATTCGATGACCTGCACTGTCAGGGCATGTCTGGTGTGTGTTTCTTGTTGTGGTTTTCAGCTTCCTCCCCACATCAGAACTTTTTATTGCATCTTATTTTCCTGGGAAGAAGTTCAGTGCTTTTCAAGGTCACATCTAGTTATTTATACTCAAATATGAGCTAAGGTGCTAATGAGGACTCTTGAAGGCAAGAGAAAGGCATGGGAGACAAAGCACATCCAAAGAAAGGATACTCAAATTCTGTGAATTTCCTAAAGCAGGCTTGGGCAAGCCAGAGGGGCAGATATTTCTGGGTTGGCTGGCTTTGGAGTACCTTTCAAATCATACCAGATAGGAGACCGCCTGCTCTACCTGTCAGAGTGAGTCCTGTGTTTTCCATCACCATCATTTTCTTCGCTATTTTAGACTTGAAATGCAAGAAACAGGATTGTCTAGAAGTAATCTCTCTCTCTCCCTCCCTCTCTCTTTCCTTCCTTCTTTCCTTCATTTCACAGGTTGGAAGATGAACAAACAACTCAACTCAGATCTCCTAGGGTTACAGATCTTTAAGCAGTGATGTGGTGGTGTTGTTTAACAACTGGTTTGTTGAAAAAAAAAGTAAGTTTATGAGTTTGTGATGGATTTTACTGATGTAAAGGGTATGTGGCATACAAGTTATTACTAACAAAATACAGAACATAATTCATTATAAATTCCATATAGCCGACTGACTCACAAAATGCTGTTGTTGCTTTTTGCTGCTTTCATATATATCCACAGCCAACCTATGGCTGCAATCCAATCATGATACGACAAATAAAGTGCACCCTTCAATCTGCCAAATCTTTTCCCAGTAAAGCCACTGTCATTACATCTGTTATGCAGTCTACAGTTTATTTACTATTTATTACTCTGTCGCAAATTACAATCATTAAACTGAGAGGTCTCTCAGTTCTACTACTATTTGAAATATAATTTATTTTCCTAAATAATAATTTGGTTAAGAACTGGCTTGAAACTTCCTGACAATTTAACAACTGACTGTCATGAGCAAAGCCAGCTCCAGCATACCTCTACCTTTGGGGCTGCAGCCACCTGGCTTGGTTCTCTTCATGCCTTCTGCAGAGCAGGGCTAGAATGTAGGATTTAGTAGCCAGAAGCAGGAATGATGTTTGCTCTCTGTGGTGCCAGGCCATGGGAAGTCTGCTGACATCTCCACAGTCCTACGTTCTGAGACGCCTAGAAACCACCTGACAGAACACACGGGGTCCTCTGGTTAAGAACTTGAGTCTCCTTATGAAATGACACCACCTCTCACCTGCTGTGTCCCTTATTTCACAGCTCAGGCAGAGATGCTAAATTCTTCCTCTCTCTTTTTTTTTTGAGACAGAATCTTACTCTGCTGCCCACGCTGGAGTACAGTAGTGGTCCGATCTTGGCTCACTGCAACCTCCTCCTCCCAGGTTCAAATGATTCTCCTGCCTTAGCCTCCTGAGTAGCTGGGACTACTGGTGCGCTCCACCACACCACCCAGCTTATTTTTTTTTATTTTTTATTTTATTTTATTTTATTTTTTTTTGGTAGTAGAGGCAAGGTTTCACCATATTGGCCAGGCTGGTCTCAAACTTCTGACCTCAAGTAATCCACCCGCCTCAGCCTCCCAAAGTGCCGGGATTACAGGCGTGAGCCACTGCACCCGGCTAACCCCTCTCCTTGAGGACAAAGCATGGCTGAGAAGGGAAGAGGGTAGGAATTTAAAGCAAGAGCTTTTCAGTGTATTTTCTTCAAGTCTCATGTCTTTCTCCGCACCTGCTTGGCACAGTGTTAGTCCTACAGACAGGGTGACTCTTCATGGACTGGCAGGACACTCGTCATCCAACCCATTTTTGCCCTTCAATTATTACTCTTCACCATCTAAATCTAGTTTGTCATGAAATCCAGTTCTGGGAGGTAAGGGTTTTAAAAAACAGCAAGGCCTATAAATAACATCAACACTCACTGGGAGGAGGGAAGTAGAAGGGACCCAGATAGCAGTTTTCACTTTTTATTTATTAATTTCTCATCTAGGAACTTGTAATTCTATGTCTGCTTCAAGTGGAAGAAGCATAGTCTCCCTTGAGATCTCACTAAAGAGCACTTGATTTCCACTTTCAGATTTTCTGAAAGGGGGCGGGTCCAAGCGGGCATCGGAGGTACCCGCTCCGCCTGAGGAGGGGGAGGTCACAGCGTGAAGCTGCAGGTACCACCGTGGCTTCTGTAAGGTCTCAGGGCTGGGCTGTGGCCCTGTCCTACTGCTGGCAGGAAGGGAAGGATCGAATCATATTTGTAACCAGATTTTCTATGGATTCAGCAGAGAGTCAACTGCCCTAATGTTGAATTTTATGTTTTCGTCGGTTGGGTGGGTGGCAGTGAGTTGCATTTAGTTTCTAGTGTTATTAATGCTCTCATTATTATACTACTGCTTGAATGAGTAGGAGACAGAGCAGGAATGTGTGTGGCAAGGAAGGCCATTAAAAAAAAAAATCCAGTTTTTCTTTTAATCTGGATTTTTTTTTTTAAGGTAAAATTCACATAACATACAAGTCACCATTTTAACCATTTTAAAGTGTATAAATAAGTTGCATTTAGTACACTTACAATGTCGTGCAAACATCATCACTATCTAGTTCCAGAAACCCCGTACCCATTAAGCAGCAGTCACACCCCACCCCCCTCTCTGCCTCCAGGCCCTGGTAACCACTAATCTGCTTTCTGTTTCTACAGATTTGCCTATTGTGGATATTTCATATAAATGGAATTACACAATATGTGGCCTTTTGTGTCTGCATTCTTTGACTCAACATAATGTCTCCAAAGTTCATCCATGTTATAGCATGTATTGTAAGTTACTTTTTAATTTAAAAAAAAGTTAAGGGGGAAATGTCACAGGCCCGCTTCACCTGGCTGAAATCATCCCCTTCCAATGAGTTTTACTTGGCAGACTGTGAAATTACTGCCATCGCAAACCTCTGACAGGGTGCCTTAATCAGGCCCCAAGGAAATGGGCAAAAGGACCGAAAGAAATAAAGTCCATCTGTCCCAAGTGAATTATTTCTTAAGTTTTAGTTGTATTTTGACTTGTAGCTGCTTGTGGATTTGTGTTAGCATTGTGTTAACAAGATCTTGGTTTAGTAATAATAACTAACCTAGTATACTGTCTCTTTAATTACTTTCATTTTCCCATAGCTTCAGGAAAATAGAAGACAAAGTCTTGGTAATGCAGAAATAAAGGTTACAAACGAAAACCTATGACCCCATCGGAGACGAAAAAAAGTGGAGGTTTCTCTCAATTTAAGGGTAGAATTTCAATGACTTTACCACCTTAGTAAAAGAAGCTCTCCATTCTTGACAATTCTGTCAAGGGAATGATATAATGAGAATCTTTGTCTAAACCCTTTCTGGTGCTCTGTGCCTTACCACCAAAGTCGACAACAGGAGAACAAGGTCATTAAGGGGGTCCTGCTTATCCGTCTATTGTCACTTTATCTTTAAGCTTCTTACTGGATTGCAAACTCTTTGGGGGAAGGATGTAGGTCTGATTCATGTAACCCAAATCCCTGACCATTCAAAGGCCCTCATCTGTGTAATGACAGGACTTCAGACATCTTTTCATGTTGCCATATTAGAGTAATTAATGTTAGCTGCAGTAGCAAACAACCTCAAATTTTCAATGGTTTAACACAATAAATGTTTATTCTTTGTTCCCATCAAAACTCAAAACAGTTCTGGCAGCTCCCCTCTAAGTGATGACTCAGGGATTCAGCCTTCTTCTATCAATGGAGCTTGCTGTCTTCCACAGCCCTTTTGGAGCCCTCTGCCTATCATCTGAACTGAGCTGACCAGCAAGCAAAGATCAAGCAGAGGATGCATGAAGATTTTAGGTTGCAGGCGTTAAAGTGTCTACACCCCTACATTAAAGGGTCTACACCCCATTCCAGTCATGTTCCCTTGTCCAGTGCAAGGGGGCTGGAAGATATAGTCTTCTGTGTGCTCAGGAGAGGAAAGGATATTGTTGAGCATCTAGTCAATCTCTTCTATAATTTTTCCTTTCCCTCAGGCACGCTCAGCAAGACGTGGGTGGAGGAAAGTTGTCTCATGATGGTTCCCAAGTTAGTCACACCACATCTATGATTCTGCTTTGCCTGATTCCAGACTGGCAAGCTCCACTCTACCATGGACCATCATTCACTTCTCTGCAGGTTGCTTGATGCAGTTCCAGAACATTCTACCTCCCTTCAATTGATGCTGCTACCATGAAGCTGACCTCAGGATGAGGAAAGGTTGTACCCCCTTTACCCTTCCACATAGCTCCATCTTTTACTTGCCAAGAACAGACTGTAATAAAACTTTACTGAAGGCTTCAATTCCGCAGAAGGAAATTACAACGTAGAGAAATGTAAAACTGGTATGTGATCTGACTGTTCTCAGAGTAGGCTGCTGAAGCCTGTGTAGTTTCTGGCCAGCCTCTTTTGACCGGGTAGAGGTCAGCTTTCTTCTTCCTATCATAGAAGGAAGACCTCTGGCATGTCCCCGCTTCTGTTGAGTCCCAGGCCTCATGTCCCCATGTTCCTTAAAAGGTAAAAAGTTCCCTGCCTTCTGAATCTTTTCTTTCTGACCTGGATCTTTCATTCAATATGATAGGTTCTGGGAATTTCTATTTCCTTTAGAAAAAAGTACAACCTTCAACCCATAGAAAGTGGCCTCTATACTCACAAGCCAAGTCCCTTTAGAGCATAATAACAGGACATCAGTTGTTTTCTCAACTGAGTTAGAATAACACTACATAATAGGCATAATTCATCCAGTCTGGGGCAAGCATTGCTAAACTCAGTCCAGCTTATTTTCAGTTTTATCGTCTGTTTGAAGTAACACCCATGCCTGCATATAGTTACCACCATCTTGGGGTCTCAGCAGCCAACCTCCTTGAGCAATCGCATTTCCAAGAACAAGCAAGGATTTGTAGGATGATGTGTGAAGTTCATCTTTAGCCACCCTCTCCACAATGAAATAGAAGT